ATTCCTTTTTAAAGCTAGTTTTCAAATGTAGTCTATCAAACAATTATTTACCACATCCAGAATACCACTTAAACAGAATTCAGATCATGGAAGAATCAACACAAGACTCCCATTCTGAGACAGGATAACTACCCAATGCATCTGCTGCTGCTCTATTTCATGTAACATTGAGAGGTGACATAATGTAATAATATGCAACAAAGGGAACCAGGCTATTTTTTCATATTATCAATCTAATGGCCTTGACATATTCCCTGCTTTCAATCAAGAAGAATCTACACAACATAGAATCTACATAAATGAAGTTTCATCTTCAAAGTTTTGTCTGTTCTCTGCTGCAGAAAATTCCTTGTAGAACAAAAGCCCTCCTATGAATATCTTCAGTCTTCCACATTGCCCATGTCCCATTAAAAACTATCAATGGATTGCCATCATAGCATTAACCCACTCTTCTGGCACGTAATTTTTCCAACTTCTCAAACTTCAGATAGCAAAACCTTTCAGGTATTACAAAGTCCATTAATTCTTCAACTTAGGTATCAGACTGCTGTGAGAAGAACTGCAGTGCATGTTACCCTAAAATGCAACTCTCTCATGATCATTCAAAAAAGTCAAACTAACAAGGCTGCCAGTACTGATACTGTAAAGCTCTGTAAAGAGTTGAGGCCTAGAAAAGCCTGGGTGAACACCACTTCTAAAACAAGCAACATCCATAAACCCAACCCTCTTAATAGATATTTTAATTGGAATTTAGATAACAATGTGAAATTCATTAAAGAAATATTAAAGATTATATTTATTAAATAGAAGTTCAGATGACTAAATGGAATACTGTAACAGACAACATGTTAGATGAGCAAATCACCATGAAAGGCTTCCAAAGACAGTTAGTATTCAAGATTAGAAAAGCTTATGTGTATTTTTCATTTTGTCTATTTTATGAAAGGATCCACTTATATCAGTAACATGCATCACTTTAACGCAAATTTTAAAAATACATCAAATTCTGTCGTATATTTAGGATTCCCAAAATATCACAGGTTTACTTTAAACTAATTCATTTCAACATTTAAAGCTAATGTCATTCAAAACTGTAAGACCCATCAAGTTCCTGCTTGTTTAATCAGTACAAGTCTAATACCTGAAGTACAATCACACAGAGGTCATGAGCAGATTTCTTCATCTACACAGCGAAAGAACAAAAAGACTTGAAATTCCAGTCTAGATGTCAGCAAACTTGCATGTTTTCACTCACTGAACTATCACAGCATCAGTCAAGTGACATTAAAAGTAAATAAAAAATACGAGTACAGTATTTTCAGGAACACTCTCTTACATGGTACATAAGCAGTTATATGGGATACATCAACTGATAAAACTGTGGACTTTGAAAAGTAATTACTCATGTTTATATAAGAAAATTCACACAAACATCAGTCATTCTGACCTAGAAATCCTTGTATCAAACAGCAATGTGACATTTGTTTCTAATAAGCCTGCAACTGTTCCCATTTGACTAGATTTCTAAATATTATTTCTCCAGTTCTGCACTGTGAACTATAATGTGATTTATGAAAAGCTGCACCTGTAAAATTAGCCTCTTATCTTAGTATAGCAAGGTCTACTGTTAATTTGTTTAGTGCCAAGTACCTGCAGTACGGTACGAGACAAAAGCAGGAGTTCAATGTTCTACAGGATGCATACAATCCGGCCAGCTACGGACCGGACTTAAAACACACTGAAAACCCGGTCGATGTTGTTATCCTATAACTTTAAAAAGGAAACAAGAAAGATATTTACTAACATGGATTACTTTCAAATTTTTAAATCATTACTCAAACTCACAGAGGCTACAAAAGTATGACAAATGTTTACTCTTAGAGCATTAAAAGATTAGTTAAACAACTAAAATAGGCAAGAAGAATACATATCGACATTCTTCTCATGTTTTAAACTAGTAAAGCTTCAAAACTTCAGAAGGATGCAAACAACTGTCTTGTGCTTTGGCAGCATCCCATTAAGTCTTTAATAAGAATGAATTACCACCCAAAATTGAAGTGCAACATAACAGCATTCTACTTCTACCACTTAAGAGGTAAGAATTTTATCTTCCTTCCTAATATATTTTTTGATAGATACAAATCTATTAACCCCTTCTTTCAAAAAGCAATTGATTCTTTCACCACAAATGAAAAGCATGCAGAGATAGCTGGGCATGTCTTTACAGCAGAAATTATGAGCAATACTATAGGTATGTTCATTTTTCACTGTGAGAAGACCTATAGGTGAGAACAAGAAATGGCCTTCTGACCACAACAATGTAAAAAAAAAATCATGTAGAAGCCTAACTACAGCACCTCACTTTGACTTTAATTAATAAAACCCACCTCACTCCCCCTCCCACTAGGTAACCTGCAAACAAAAATAAGTTAAAATGTGAATATAAAACACATGCATACATAAGGAGAAGCTTGATGAGTAATGCTGCACATCAGAGCCAGCTTCAGACATTGACAAAGCAGCAGTAATGGGCAGCGTGCCACACAACAGTGTGGTTTAGCAATCATACCATGCCAGTATTATGCTCTGATACTGCTTATCCACTTCATAACACCTACTCCTGTAAGGACAAGCCAGAACCTTGCAAAACTGTTTCCCTTTTGGCCAGAACAGAGAGAGCCGCTAACGAACAGCAAGTATTGCAAACCATAATCACTTAACCTTCTTACTATCTTGCTACTTTTTGAACTGTGTTTGAAAGAAAGCACAGTGATATTGTATTTCTACAGCAGTACTGTTAACGGTATCTATAACTATCTATAGGTTTCATAAGGGGTGTAAAACAGCCCTGGGAAATATCAGAAGTAGTGCTGCCTTTGCCTATGCCTGTATCCTGAAGATTTAAGGGCTGCAACTAAGGGAGGAATCAGAATGGAGACAAGAACAGCCAGTGCTGGGTAGGGGTTACATTTCAGGCTTGGGTGTCACTGCCTTCCCCAGTTTGTCCATCTCCAGCAGCAGTAAGAATAGGTGATATTTAGAGGTTTTATCCAACCCTCTTTCTGACTGGCTAGACATTAGCCAAGGAGACACAGGAACTGGAGTACACTGCTGGTGACAGTGACTAAACAGGATACAGTGCTATGTGAAAGGACCAGACTGAAGGAAAAAGATCTCTCTTCTCCCACCCACAACCCGCACACTGATCTTATCTTGAGGTATGGGAACTGTTCCTCCATCTAAGATTCGTTCTCATCCTCCCTTATCCCTTTGAGGAAAGTCAATTTGAGACAGACCTGAGAAGAACGAAGAACAAAATTACGTGAAGCACTTGCCTAATTAAGAACTTAGCTTGAAAGACTGAGATGAATATTCAAGTTCTCAGTCCACATTGTGAAGATAACACACTTGTTAACATTCAGCAGAGAACAGCTCTTAAGGACCTGACTAACACCAGTAAGCATTGACTTTTCTTATTTTAGCTGACGTTCTAGAAGGAAAAGTGATGCTCTGCTGTTCTCCTTGCCTCTTTCTGTCAGGTCTTTAATTTGAACTGTCTCCTCCTCCTCCACGATAAACTTTAAAGGAATCATCAAACAATCCTAAGTCTTTGTATATTTCTGAATTCAAAATCCCAACCACCAAATTAGCCTGGCATTGTAGTTTGAACCTTTTGGGGCATGCTTTAATGATCACAAAAGCGCTCTATGCATGGTACCATTAATTTTGTGGCACTATTTGAGCTACCTATATTATAGTTGGTTCAGGAGACAATTGACAATGAGTTAATAAAGATATGGTTCTCATTTTCAAAGCATATTTCAATTTCAACATAGAACAGAGCACAAGCAGCAACAGCAAAACAGCTGAGCAGAGGCATAATTTTTTTTTAGTAGCAACATTAATTTGGAAAGCTTAACTAGGCAACTTGCAAAATAAAACCTGCAAAGTTTTCAGTTATATGTTATGTACTGTTAAAATGTAATCTTAACTATCTGTTCATGCTTGGGTTTGATTTTTATTCCACCCTATGAATGGCTTTTTTGATGACACAAGGTAATGCTGTAAGATGATTAGTTAATGCTATTCACAGTGATCACTTACTGTATCCAGGAGCTATAGAATTCTCCAGCACTTCCCAGCAACAATTACTGCTATATTTATAAGGAGACATCTTTGGCTTTGACATTCCTAAGTTTAGCATTTCCTTGACAAAAGTACTATTTAAGATGTACATTCAAGCAAAATTCAGCCTACTGCGAAAGTAAGAATGTATACAAAAAGATCACACATACAGCTATGTGGTTACTTCATCCAAATCTTAACAACATTTAAGGCAAATCACACTGGCGGCGATGGAATTCATTTGACCCTCCCATTACAACAGAGTGCAAGATCCGAGCGTTGCTTCTTGTGGGAATATTGTTGACTGTTTAAAACCCTATCAATTTCATGCTACTACTGCCCCATCATCTAGACTTTTTATCTGGCACTTTATAGCCATCTGAGAATATGTAATCTCCTTACTAGCAGAATCTGTTGAAAACTTCCTAAGTCTCCAATTATAAAGGCTTCTGTGCTCTAAAAGTCTTCAGCTGCAGATGCACAAAATTTTCACATCTGCAAACTTGGAAAAATGACACGATACAAACTAGCTGTGAACATTACAAGCTATCTGAGCAATTCTGAAAGTCAGTTTTTAATGCA